CCCCTTTCCAAGACATTGAGACGTTTATCTTGATCTGGATTGTGAGGAGTTTGAATTACAGCTTGATGAGGAGGAGACTGATTTTGATACGGCAGATTGGGTTGTTGAAATTGTGAATGAGAATTGAATGGAACTGTGTTTCCCCTAGGAAAATGTTGGGTCGAAGCGGGAGTGAAATTTTGAGTTCCGGGAGAATTTCCTAGATTCCATGCAAAGTTGGGATGATTTCTCCAACCTGGATTGTAGGTTGGAGAAAATGGATCATTTCTAGGGTGCTGGAATGCAGCGTTCATCTGTTCTATTGCGTTGTTATTTCCTAGGAGAGGGCATTCCTCTGAAACGTGGGTAGGAGACTGACAATTATGACATCCTGGGAAAGAAACATGATTGAGTTGAGCTGGAGCTCGTTCCTTAATTTCTAAGGCTTCTAACCTCCGCAGAATTGTCGCCATCTTCGCTTCAGAAGCAATGTTTGACTCCAAGGAAAGACCACTAGACTTAGAATGGGGAACTGATGAAACCCTGTCATCGCACTGTTCCCATTGCATTGTTTTTTCAGAAAGACTCTCCAAAAACTCCCAAGCTTCATCAGCATTTTTCCTCATAAAATCCCCGTGGCACATTGATTCTAAGGAAGTTTTTGCAGAATAATCTAATCCCTCATAAATTATTTGGCACAATCGCCATTTCTCTAAACCGTGATGAGGACATTGGATGAGAAGATCTTTAAATCGGTCAAAATACTTCCAAAAAGGTTCTCCCGGGATAATTTTAAAGTTTTGAATGCTGTTCCTAAGCTTTACCGTTTTATGAATAGGAAAAAATTTCTTAAGAAAAACGGTGACAAATTCATCCCAAGTTGAGATGGAATTTGTTGGTAAGCTGTACAGCCATTTTTTAGCTTTATCCTTAAGAGCAAATGGAATAAATCTAAGCTTAACCGCATCTTCATTTAATTCTCTCATTTTAATCATAATACACACTTCCTCAAATTCCGAAATAAAAATATATGCGTCTTCTGTTTCATTACCAAGGAATTTGGGAAGCATGTTTATGTATTGCGGTCTAAGCTCAAAACTTATTCCATTTGTTTCGGGGAGCCTAATGCATGAGGGGATTGCATTCCTAATGGGATAGCACATATCATGAAGAACGGGTGGATTAGGATGCTCCATTTCTATGATTGGTTCAAAGCGAATTAATCGATGTGTATTATCCCTAATCCACTGTTGCATACACCAAAATATTTCTTTTTATTTTTTTTCTTAAATTAGTTTTTTTTTTGAGAAGATAAAGAAAAAGAAAAATCCTAACTGAAACAAATCAAAACAATCACTTTTCAATCAACTCTAATTCTAGGGTTTAGCCTAACTCAACTAGACCAGCTCCTAACCAAAAACTCCTACAGTGAAAAGATCAAAGTTTTACCCAGGTAGTTAGCCAGGTAAGGATAGTACTAGAGGGTGATCAAAGATCAATTAAGTACCTCTTTCCTTGCGGAGCGCTTTACGCAACCCCTAAACCTTGCCTTAGACACCAACTAATCTGAGAAAACTTAAACCGGTTCACTTAAGGATTTCTTGTTCCTTATTGAGCTCGAATCCTTAGGGGCCAACGTCTAATGAGTTTTATTAGGCTTGGGTGGTGTAGTGAGGAATTAGTGATTTTTGGGCTAAGGAAAGGGTGATGAAATCCCTCACCTTATCTTGATTATGGGGTTTTGCCCTTAAAAATATTTTTAAGTGTGTGTCAAATCAAGATGCTCAAATCACTTGGTGAATTCCTACTAACTATATGAAATGCAACCCTATGAATTAAAAGCAACTAAAAAGGATGGAAAAGAAAAATCTTTTTTTTTTTAATTAGGGTTAACAATCAAACAAATGAGAAGGGGGGATTTGTTTGAATTTATTATCTTGTTAGTAAATGTCAAAGTGAAGGGTGAATTTTATTATGGTCAACGGAAATAAAATCTTTTTTTTTAAGATCCTAATTGTCACTAATTGTGAGAAACTAACTAAAGGTGTGGAATTGAAAATATAAGGAAGAAGACTTACCACAAGCGAATATCCAATTCCTCAATCTCCAATTCTTGATCTTTAATCTCCAAGTAGTTCTTTCACAATAAACACACAAGTTAAAGAACCAAAATAATTAAAACCTACTTAAGCACCTTCCCCGGCAACGGCGCCAAAAACTTGATGCGGCATAAACATGTACCAAAAAGGTTGCAAGTGCACAACCGTGTCAAGTTATAGTATTTAAGATATCGATCCCACGAGGAAGGTGTTTTGTAGGAGAAAATATAAAATCGGTTCTTATGTTGTGTGTGTGACAAGTAGGAGTGATAAGTGAATGTGATTGTGGAGAGATAGAGAGAGTGGAAGTGATAGTGTGTAAATCGGCACGAGATATAAGTGAGAGTGGATGTGACAAAGAATGAATATGATCAATAAGGCAAGAAGGAAAAGGAAAATAAAAATCAAGAATAAAGAAAATAAAATTCAAGAATAAAAGAAAATGCAAGAAATTAAAGATGGTGGATTCAATTATAGATATGGGTAATCTACAATTGAACCCACTTCTTAGAAAAGGGTGATTCCCTAGAGGGTTCTAGCCTAAAGGCGAATCAAACAAAATAAAAATAAACAAAAAGAAAAACTAAACCCAAGAGGGTTCTAGCCTCAAGGTGAATAGTGTAAGAAATTAAAATCTAACTACAAAATAAATTGCAAAATCTAAACTACAAAATAAAATTGCAAGAATTAAATGCGTGAAAATAAATCTACTCTATAAGCATGAAATAAATCTAATCTATAAGCATGAAATAAATCTAAGGCAAGAGGGTTCTAGCCTCTTGGCTATTTAACAAGAAAATAAAATCTAACTACAAGCATAGAAATAAATCTAAACTAATAAGCAAAGAGAAGAAATATTTAAAGTGGTGAAAAAATTATTATTATTAATTGCAACTAAAGTTACAATTTTTGGAAGGCCTTCTCAATTAAGAGTAGTCCTCCTCTCCAAAAGGAGTTTACAAAATTTTTACACCTCTAACCCCTCATTCTTTACCCCTATTTATAGTAAACATCAGTGAATGAGAGCCATTGGATTGAAATCTTATCCAAAAACAACAAATTTCAGCCTTAGATTCGTAACAGACTGCCCAGCGTATCGATGCAGGTATCGATACAGGCATCGATGCAGGCATCGATGCCTGCCTTTATCCTTTTGCTGTCTGCAGCTTCTTCTTGTTGTTTGCTTTTGGGCTTTGGACATTGGGCTTTTCTTGGACTCTTGGGCTTGGGCTTTGATTTATTTCTTCATTTAAATACTTGAAAGAATTCATTGGGCTTCATGGCTTCATTTCTTCATTAAATTATGGGCTTTTTGTTGAGAGATGAGGGTTTTGAGATTTATTCTTCATTAACCTGCAATTAAACATAAAAACAGTTATTAGTGGTATATTTATTCATATAAAATAGATAATGAGGGTATAAAATTGTAATAAAATATGATTATCAGTTACCCCACACCTAAACTTTTGCTAGTCCTCTAGCAAAGAAAATAAAAAGAAAATCCTAACTCACTTTCGCAGGAATCGCGGTTGTATTTAGCGCATACAACAAGCCTTTAAACCCCTAGGTTACCCTAGTGGACGAGTTGTAGTCTCGTGAGGGTTTGCAGTGAATATACCCACAAAATTCGGTCAACTTGCCAAATTAAAGAAGTCAGTAAATAACTAAATTCACTTGATAACTTTTAGATAATCTAATTGGAGCCAGTTATCACTCAAGAAAACATTTTTATATATAACTCTAAGGTATATTTTTAAGAAAATCTTCTCATTGTAGCAATACAAAACCAAGCCAAACTTAGAAATTTAATTTAAAAGTTTTGAAAAGAACATGCTAACTCTTTGTTTTAAATAATTTTCAAGTTGCTTGATTTAAAATATTTTCCAAGACCATATATACAACTATAAAACATTTATTAGTTTTTTTAACTCTTTCTTCCTTGGTGATTTTTTCTACATATATGTATGCTTGGTACCAAAAATAAATTTTGTGCTTGGTAGTGAGGTGGCACAATCCCCTCCACTTATTCAAATGGGGGACCACATTCACATGGGTTGAGGAGTGCATGTGAATATGCAACCATTTGAATGAGTGGAAGGGACTATGCCACCTCATTTTTTATCCATAAAGAGAATTAGCAAACAGCCCTCTATTCCCAAAGAGCATAATAAAAAGAAACCCAATGATTTAAAAATAAATTTCACGTAACAGGTTAAACCAATTAATCTTTCCTTTCCCTAAAAAAAGGGTTTTAATTAACTGGCTTAGATTTTGTTATTCATGGTTTTCGACAGGCGAAGTCTATAGGCACGGCAAGGCTACTAGACTTGAGCCTGCGCGCGTGCTTGCAGCCTGTGACTCCAAAAAGCCACAGAGACCTCACCGGGTCAAGAAAAAAAAAAGGGAAAAGCTTCACATCCATGATATCGGGCGGTGCCGACCCACTAGCCCAGTAAGCTGTCCAATGACAGCGCGCCACGCCAGACGACGGAGACTCGCTTTGGCAATGTTGGGAAAAGCCAGCGCTAGCTATGGGGAATAGGGAGTGAGATGAGAATTTGTTTACCTGCTAAAGGGGGGAGGATCTCAAGTGGGGCGAGGAAATTAGAGAGGAGATGCTTTCCAAACACTTTTGCGCCTGCTTAAGAACAAAAGTATTAATTGAATTCGTTGCATTAATTATGACAAAGGTCATGAAACGCATCATCTTGTCCGTGGACTATTTTTGTTTAACCTGATCCCCTCTCAAAAACAAATCTTTGGAGATTAGGATTGGCTAATAATGAAGGAATGGCTTTGATTAAGACAAGCACTTTGGTCCAGTGGGCGGTGGATGAGCACTTTTAAGAACAAGAAAGCCAACTCTTTAAGAGTGACAGAAGAAGTTAAACATGTCCCAAACTGATCCAGAGTTTACCAGGATCCGCTTCAAAATGAAAGCTCAAACTCATGACAGAGGTGTATCTAGCATGCGTATCTGATGAATTATCTCATGAATTTGCTCGTAATAATGCTATACAAATTCATCTGAAACACGTACGACTCATCATAAAACTCAATTCAGAGATGTACCCTATGTTTATCATGACAAAGTAAGCATACGATACCTCCTGAAGAAGATTCAATTCTCATAGAACTAGTACTCAGTTTCCGAAAACGGCTAGTGCTTGATTGTGCTTTATGGAAATACTGGACTCAAATTTCCCTATAATACAAATGGAAAAGAACAAAAAGATAAAAAGTCTTGCTATAGACGAGCAATCCTTACAAGAATAGCAAATATGCCGACTACCAAAAGATTGCTATATATACTGTATAATAATTATGCATCAATATAATAGTAGGGTGATCAGGTGCTAAGGACAATAGAATAATCACCTTACCCACGTAAGCAAAAATGTTATAGAACAAAAGTATGCTGAGGAGAGAGAGAGATCAGCCTATTTGACAGTGCTAAATACATTTTCTTATAAAACTAAAAAAAAAATTGTAAAAGGTCAGTGTCCAGTCTTAAAATAATAATAATAAACAGGTAGACACACACATACACAACAAGAAGAACAACAAAGAGAAAGGAGGTAATTGGATTAATGCTTGTTAGTTTCTACTCGCAAAAACATTAAATAACTGAGTTGTTCCAGTTTGATAAGTTTAGATTGCCCTACATAAGATTATTGAAAAAAAAAAGTATGGTATTCCTAAGGTTATATCATTCTAGAAGCTCTATGGCAAAAGATTCTGTAGTCCAAAGAACAAGAAAACCTAAACTCTAAAAATATCATGAACTAAAGAAAAAGAAAAGATCGTTATCGAGCTCCGGTAAAAGGAATTCATAGGGGCAAGCGTGCCTGAGTTAGTTGAAAACATAATGCCACCACCCACTGTGAGCTATTTCCCCAAAACTTAACTATCTCAGTGGACCACTTCATGATCTCATGCTAACCTCCCTCCCAACTTTTAATAACGCCCTCAAATGAGGGTAAAATACTAGTTATTCCATCCTAAGAAATAAAGCTCAAGCCAATTGCCTTAGACATAGGAAACTATGAAATATGCATGATGAGTACATGAAGTAGGGAACAGACCAAGACTTGTCGCAGAAAACATAGGTGTAGAAGATAAATATAGGTTCCGAATATAAAGGAATTAGGGTTCCTTTCATTGATAAGTTTTAACACAAACGATATGCAAGACAACAAACATGCCAACATCTGAATAGAGTGTATGAAATGCTAAAAGAGAAACAAAAAAACAGATATCATGTTGGGGATTCGTCCTATCGACAACCTGTCAAATGAACCCTCTCGCGGAACGCACCCTCCGGATCTTGTGTTGAAAGAAAGCAAGAAGAAATCACAGCAAATAAAAGAAAACTTTGCAAGGAAAAAATAAAAGAGAGAACACCAAAATTTTAACGAGGTTCGGCAACTTGCCTACGTCCTCGGGAGCCTCACAAGCAAATAAAAGAAAACTTTGCAAGGAAAAAATAAAAGAGAGAACACCAAAATTTTAACGAGGTTCGGCAACTTGCCTACGTCCTCGGGAGCCTGGAAAAAATAAAAGAGAGAACACCAAAATTTTAACGAGGTTCGGCAACTTGCCTACGTCCTCGGGAGCCTCACAAAAAAATTTCCTTTAAATATTAAAGAAGATTACAAAGCTTGCAAGAGATGATCTCAAACTCCTTAAGATCACTAAAAAAAAACTCTCTTTTTATTTCTCAAGGCGCGAGATTTTTCTCTGAAAAATCGCCGCTCAAGACACTGCAAAAATCGCCACCAAAATCTCTACAGGAAATGCTCTACCAAAAGTCGCGTTTAAGTGGCGGTCAGGGTTCCCTATTTATAGGGAAACCCTAGGTCAAAAACAGATTAGAAATCTGTCTTTTCTGCGAGTTCGCCTGACATGCGGATTCGCTTAAACACTCAAAGCTAGCCTGACTTGTGAAGTCTGCCTGAACACACAAGTTTGCCTGACTCATGTTCGCCTGAACATAGTCACGTTCGCCTGACTTACAAGTTCGACTGATCTTGGAGTTCGCCTGCATTTAGGGTACCCTGAGCTCAGCTTCGCTTGAGCACTTGAAGTTCGCCTATACTTGGAGTTCGCCCGCACTTAGGGTTCGCCTGAACTCAGCTTCGCCTGTGATTCAAGTTCGTCTGAACTTAGCTTTGGGCTTCGCCTGAACTATCAAGTTCACCTGATTTCTTAATTTAGGGAAATCTTTCCTTTGTGTGCTTGTTCTAAGATTTGGGTCTACACTCCCAAAACCAACAGATTTCAAGAGGCACAGACAGATTAATGTGATAATTTTATTGTGCTTCAAATTTATGATCACGGAAAATTAAGGCTAATCTTGTTTTTGGAATAAATATAATGTAACGTACTGACCTCTGAATGAAATTTGGAATGAAATCCTTGATATGCCAATGGATAAAAGAGGCTTTTTATTTTTTATTTTCTTAATCACACCTCCCATGTTAACTGCAAATCATAGATATATCCCTGCACAAAAGTAAATAAATTAAAAAATAAAACATTTTATCCTGAACTTTCCAAGATATTTAATCCACAACGCAATGACGCCAAACTTGTTTCTTCTAGGTCAGCATGATTGGGTTTGCATTAAAACCAATCATAAAATACTATTCTATGTGTTGGTGTCAAGACTCGAGTCCCTGCGCAAATGAATGTGGGAGATAAGCGTCATCATGAAGGATTAAACTCATGGACTGGGGAACAACTCTCAACATCAACTATAGCAGCAGGAGTCTTAGAGGAAATGATAAGGTAAATATATAGATCCACTAATTACTAGTGACCATAAGCATACTTTAAGCATATGCAACTTCCAAGAACTTACCAATATCCCTGAAAATTTGAAGCTCTCTAATGTTTAACTATTGCTGTGGAAATAACACAAGAAATACAGATTGGCATTTGCTAAATATGCTTTTGATGTCAACTACAATAAGATTGACCTCAGTGGTGAACCTTATGATGATTTTTTTTTGGAAAAAATGAATCCAGCTCTGTGAATTTCTGTTTCCACCATTCATCTACCCACTTAAAATTTAGGAGAATGGATGGCAACCCACTGAAATGGTTCCTTTAACAAGTGATGAGATTCCGTAACACTGTGATGAATCATTCGAAAAACGTTCAAATTGAAACTACATATATTGCAAGAGTATATAATAAGCTTCACTTTGAAATTTAGCAACCAGAACAAGCCAAAAATGCGCACATCATACTAAAGAAGGTGGTGAAGTTGAACAACAGAATCATGTTCTGTGTTTTCTTTTTTCAAGTTAGTCCTGTTTTATTATGGACAAATTTTCAAAACCAACATATTTAGAAATTTAATCCCAGAAAACAACCCATTTCAAACTTAATTGCAAAAACCGACCTAGTTTCAGCCTTGGCGCTGAAACCAGGTCGGTTTTTGTGAAAAAACTTCGGAAACTTCATGAGAGTTGAACTCCCGTGAAGTTTAGTAAAACTGATAAACTTCACGGGAGTTGAACTCCCGTGAAGTTTAGCGTGAAGTTGAACTCCTGTGAAGTTTAGCAGTTCAAAAAAAATTTGAACTACGAAACTTCACGGGAGTTCAACTCTCGTGAAGTTTAGCAGGTTTACTAAACTTTACGGGAGTTCAACTCCCGTGAAGTTACGGATAAATTTTTTCAAAAACCGATCTGGTTTCAGCTCCAGGGCTGAAACCGGGTCGGTTTTTAAATTTTTTTGCAAAAGCAGTCGTTTTTTGAAAATAAATAGTGAAAGGGGTTGGTTTTGAAAATTTGTTCGTTTTATTATACTGGAAGGACCGCTGGGTTTATAGTTGATTCAAGTTTGAGAGCATCATGTCGGACTTGTTATAACATTATATCACAAATGAAAGAATATCACATGTTGGTTATAACACGAGTGAGGATCGATGATGATTTTCCATCTTTTCCCCCAAACGGCATACAGGACTGGCTTTTGAACCTCAACGGTTAAGCTTTGTTCTATGCATTTACTTTCATAAAAAAATGCATATTATTCTTTGGGTCATCATACATGGTAATCTCAATCACTATAACAAGTATCACCATAGTTTATTAGAATTACAACATTATCTTTTCAAACTTATGCTTCAGACATCTAGCTTTTGGACTGTTTGGTTTGATGCAAATAGCAACGGTAATTGCAGTTTGCAAGTAAGTACATCAGTTGTAATGTTTATTTTACTGCACTTATGGGTTTTTTTTGTTTTGTTTTTTTTTTTTTTTTGCAGTTGTAGATGCAGAAGGAACTGCTTTTCGCAAAAATAGCTTGCAATCAATTTGGCTGCAATGTGTCTGGTCATTTTTTTTTTTTTTGCAATTGAAGATGTAGCTAAGTATGCCTGTTATGCCTGGTTGCCAGATGTTTTTTGGATGGAGAGACAGAGAGAGGGAGAGGGAGAGAGAGAGTTTTTGCAAACTGTGATCATTACATTTGAAAAAAAGACTAGTTCTACTGAAACATATAGCTGCAACAGCAATTGATATGTCGTTTTGCAAACTGCAACTACATTTATAGTTGTAATTTACAGTTAATCTAACAAATAAAGCAATTTCATTTTATGCCATATAAAAACTTTGGTCAATTCATTTTGTAGACATGTAAAGAAGTCCAAGCGTCTAACATATCCAACTCCCACCACTTTGTACCATCCAACCCACTTATCTTAGTCAATCTAGAAGAAACAAAAACACTGATTCTGTGGCCCATGCTGTACATTATGTCCATGGCAACTTCGCAATTACTAGCCTACATTTGCCTACTTGCTCCCCCTTCTTGCTTAAATACCAGCCCTCGCTCCATCCACCATCCCTCCTTCAGGCACCCTCACAATTCGGTAACCTCTTGAGTTAAATTTTCCTTTCTCTCCTCTTAATTTCCAAGTCCAATTTAAGTATAGTAACATGGGTAACTGCTTAGTTCTTGAAGCGGAGGCGAGCAAAGTCAAGAGGATGGACGCAGAGATCTTGAAATATCATCCACCATTGAAAGTTCATCAAGCACCGTCTCCGATTCATCAGCCAAAGAAGACGCAAACCAAGGAGACGAGTGCATGTAGAATAAAGCTGGTTATAAGCAAGCAAGAACTGAAGGAAATACTAGAAAAGGAAGGGCTCACACTTGAGGACATGATGTCTCAAATTCAGAAAGAACCGAGATATCGTTGCAAGAAGGAAAAGGAGAGAAGTGCGTCATGGAAACCTGAACTTGAAAGCATATTAGAAGTGAATGATCTCTCTTAAGGCCTTCTTTTTCTTTTTCCTCCTTTTTTTTAGAGAATAAACATGCATGTAAAAAATAGGAGCCTGGAGGTTTTCTTTCTCTTTTCTTCCCTGTGCTTAGGCAAGAAAAAATAAAGATAACCAATGAATACTAGAATGGAGTCAGATTGATGCTTACATAGTCTTATTTCTTTTGGAATTTTGTTTAATTAAAATAAAAATGTAAAAAACAGTAAAAATCCCATAACTTTTTTGTCCTTTTTTTTTATCTCTTGGCTAAGACAGTAAAAGACAAAGATAGGCAATGAAGGATATATTTGAGTGGTGTAAGGTTGATATTCCTATAGTCCATGAATGTAAAAGTTCAAAGCAAAATTTGAGTGGGGTTTACTCTTTGTCTACAAAGGAAAGCAAAATTTGAGTGGGGTTTACTCTTTGTCTACAAAGGACTGTAGTTTGGTCTTCAACTAGTTCAAAAGGTTAATTTCAATAATTTGGGAACCACGTGTTAATTTCTGCTATGCTTTTCTTTTTCTTTCACTTTTTTCTCGGTAATTTGATTATACAATCTCAAGTGGACTGATGCTGACATAAGTAGCAAACTAAAATTCTCTTACGCAATTTGAGGAGTTGCAATTAGGCTGAGCACAGTTTTGATGATCTGAGTCTGCAATGGATATCAGTCTACAAGTACGAGTTAGTTAATTCTAAGCTACAGAAACTCTTTGTCAAGTACCGCTGGAATTCCTAAAATAGCAGGATGATTCATGCATGCTAGTGCATACTGTAGAGAAATAGAAAATGCAAATATTTATTATTCATCTAACGTTAAGCTCTCTTAAATATAGATTAGGAGGATATTATAAAATAGGTATGTGATAAAATCATATCGTCACATCTCACAATATCTCATTTTATCTACTAACTATACTAATACCAAATTATTAACAATGTCTAACACACCCCTTCAAGCAGCTTGTTACCATTGGAAATAAACCACCTAGTTTTAAGAGCTTTGGTAATGTCATCTTTCCCCGGAATAGTTAAACACGTCAGCAATCAGTAAAGTCTTAGTAAAGTGTAGTCACAACCAATAGAAATCCTAGATGGATAAGTAGTGGTGGAGCCAGGAATTTAGGCAAGGAGGTCCAAAAAATAATTAAACATTCACCCATGGCAGTAGATTATACTCAAATCTCTTTTAAAAAAAGTTGTTCCATAATTGAGTCATCATATTAGTCACTTAAATCTTTTAAAATTAGTCCCTCAAATCATGAAATTGCTATCAGGTCCACCAAATTTTCACTTATTTTGAAATTAGTCCCTCCACTCAAGAATATAAATAGCTATTGGAGGGATTAATTTGAAAATTTTTATGAGAATTGACAGAGCTAATAGTCCACAATCAATAGATTTTACTTGGTAATCACTCCAATTGCTATTTCTACCCTTGATTGGTGGGACTAATTCCAAATAAATTAATAATTGAGAAACCTAATAGCAATATTTGAAGGACTAATTTCAAAATAATCTAAGAATTGAGACCTAATACCCATTTCCATTATTTGAGCGTCTAATTACAAAATATGAAAGATTTAAGGGATTATTATAGAAAAACCCATTACCTATTTGTATTTTTATGAAATTATAAGGAAGGGGGGCTAGGGCTATGACGCCCCCACACTTTAGTCTCACATAGACTAGTGTGAAAAAATGTTAGTGACTTAAATAGAGAAAAGTTCAATGCCTAAGAGTAACTAGTACTAGCATTTTGGTAGTAGATTTAGCCAACATCGAGTTGCTCCCGGTGGGTCTCATGGCTTGCACGTGCCAAAGGGCTTGTGGGTCCAGAACGTGACAAATGGTATCAGAGCAATTGCCAGCAGGAAGTGTGGAGCTAAGTGTTATACGGGGTTAAGTGCTACACCGCGTGAATGTGGTGGGAGTTACCTCTAGAGCCCGAAGGAGCCACCTCTAGAGTTCACATCGCCTGACAATGACACTAGGATGTGCCAATCGTTATGTCGTGATGATGAGGACATCGTCTTTGTAAGGTGGGATGATTGTGATGCTCCCACACTTTAGTCCCACATAAACTAGTGTGAAGAAATATTAGTGGCTTAAATAGAGAAAAGTCCAAGGTCCAAGAGTAACTAGTATTAGTATTTTGGTAGTGGATTTAGCCAACTCGAGTTGCTTTCGGCGAGTCCCACGGCTTGCACACCAACGGGCCCGTGGGTATGGCCCCGCTCTTGCGGGTAAGTCAGTAGCAGTAGAAATCTTAGTCAGGTAACCCAGTAGAAATCCTAGATAGGTAGGCCAGTAGTGAAACTCTAGGCGGGTCAGCCAGTAGAAGCAACGTTAGAATTAACTATGTACTTTTGTACACAACCAACAAAATATGACGAAGAGAGGTATTGCTTACGAATTACGATGAAAAAAATAGCATTGTTGATCGCGAGTACCCCTCAAGCTAGGCATATATAGTATATATGTTTCAGCTTAAGGGGGAATCATGATGAACATTTTTTTTTTTTTTTTGAGATTAGGATTTTTCAAGGAAATGATTTTTTTTATTGAAGTTCAACAAAGATTTAGTGATCAAATGATGTAGAAGCCGAAGATGTTACCAAAACCGCCAATGGGAAGCATAAAGGCGATAAAACCCCTTAGTGGCCTCAAAGGTCAAGGAAGGAGAAAAAAGTCTCTCTAGGATCAAGAAGGTTCTGATACCATCTACAGAAATAGAAAATACAAAGATTTATTATTCATCTAACCCTAACCTCTCTTAAAATAGAGATTATGAGAATATTACAAAATAGGTATGAGATAAAATCATATCTAATTATATCTCACAGTATCTCATATAAATCTACTAAATATACCACTACCAAATTATTAATAATATCTAACACATACATAAAAAAACTTGTCAGTTCCACATACCAGAAAAAATCAAGTATAAGAGTAAGCTAATGACACATCAACATGAAAGTTCGCAAATTTGAACAAATCAATGAGAAAAGGAACTAATCATCTTCTAGAAGGATGATGCAACTTAAAAACCAATACTTGTCTTGGAAATTCATTAACTGTTAGATATGTGAATAAAGAACTTACTGGAAGATACTAATTAAGAATCATCTTCTAGAATATTGATTGCTTAATTTAAGACATGATACTTGGGAACAACTCAGTTGTTGCCCATAATAAATCTAATATATGATTAGACCTCAGTATATAAAATGATGTATATGGGCCTAATGCGAATATTACATTCTGTCGTGTATCTTGTTCAGTTTCAAGTAACCTCATTTGGAGAGTACCTAACTATGAAGATGTTTTAGGCAGCTCTTATCACCATCACTCGCCTTAATCTACTAGACAACCTGCCTTTTATATAAATTGTGCTACTGTAAATCCTATAAAGCAACACTAAGTGCTAACTGGATTGTGAGAGTAGAGACCTCCGATTGTATGTCTTAATCTAGGATGGATCCTAAATTCATCAGGGAAATTTTTGATTATAAACGATTTACGCAATTAACTAGTCTAATGTTGGTGTTGTATAAGAACACAAATAATAAGTTTTGGCTGCATGCCATAGTAAATTATTGTTGGATATCTTAAGTTACAAGGTATATGTGCAAATAGAATATACATATATATGCTTAATGTAAAACTAGAGCTTACATTCTTTATATGAATAAATAGTTTACTTTGCAGCAGTTCACTAACCATACATGCTCGTCTATATGAGTATATATTAAACTAAGCAGTATTAACAGTTTTATACGATATGAGCAGTTTTGTACCTGGAGGTTCTTACTAGTGCTCCATATATGATCATGAGAGGCTGCCTAGCAGAGTACAACATCAATCTCTATTCATCACTCTGGTCAACTTTGAATACCATTTCATTGTGAGATGTAAAAGGAAGTGCATGGGAGGATTAAACTGCAGAATAAACAAGCAGAAGATTTGAGGTGTTTCAGATCCCATATGCTCTCAAGTTACACCTGTGAGACTTCAACAGTTGCATTATATTTTACCGTAAAATGTTGTTCGCTTCTGATAGTATCATATAGTTCGTATTCCCTTCTTTTTACATCTTCATCCGTGACAAAGCCTGATAAACATTGGAAAGTCAGTATAGTCACAGTCTTGAACCCACCAATTGACAGAGTAACACAACATACTCTCTGTAGCATATTAAACTAGAATATTACGAAGGTGAGTAGTGCAATATAATTAGTATTTAAAAATCATAAACAACAAAATCTTTTCATTATATTCTCACAAGTCACATTAGAACTTAAAATACTACTATCATATAGAAACCATCTTCTCGTAGTCAAGCCTAATAGTTCTCTTCATCTCCTCATCGAAAGTAAAACCAATTGTTAGATAAAATTCCTTTTGCATCATTTCACTAATTCCACCCTCATACTCAAGGACATGCTCAGATATCTAGATCCTTCATGTATACTTAAAGCTATCTAGATAATAGTTCACAAGCCTATAGAAGCATGTTCAACCTTCCAACTGCAGATTTCAAGACCAACTTAAAAACTAAAATGGTAATACACCTTCTTCCTTTTAATCATCTGGGCTTTGACCCTATCACTTCCTCTTTATACATTCACTTCAAGATATTCTCAAAATGATAAGTAGGGAACATGCAAACACACCGACTCTGAAAAGATAAGTTTAGAGGAATAATTTAGATTCCACATGTAAAGAACTGGAGGTTCTTTTGCATTAGTAAGTAATCACGAAACAAGTTTATAACGCAGCGTGGAAGTAATAAAGCTTGGAATTCACCAAGTGTTGTTTTTTGAATCCACAAAAAACGATCTTTGAATGCACGAAGAGAATATAATAAAGAGGAATTTATTGATGAAAATTTATAACTATAGGGTTTACAATCCTCTTCTTAAATAGAAAAACAAAGTAGACTCCTGCTAGTTCCCGAATTTTACCAAAAATAAAAATGACAAAACTATCCTTTACGATTGAGGAAACAAATCGGTTCAATTCAAAATCAAACTAATTTTGTTTCCTAATCAAAATAAACTCCTAAACATTAGCCTATAATAGTAAAAAAACTGACAATCTTTCAATCTAGAGGGAATTTCGCAAAACAGACAGCGAGAAACCGAACACGATAAGTTTGGTTTACTCCGTCTCAAAAAAGTACACGATTTTCAATATACAATTCTTCCAATTCCGAAGTACAGCTTAGGAGATGTGACCCGTACTTTGTTGCAAGTCATTTTTCTCTATCAAACCCTTGTTTGCGCTTCTAACTGTCCAGTTTCTTCATGAATATATCCATAGTGCGTTTTACATCAGTTTACACCGAGTTACAGAAATCCAAAAGATCTCTAAGAGAACACTACTGGTAGACAAGGTAACAAACACGACAACATCTAAATATGTTGTAATGAATGCTAAAAAGAATAAACACCAAAAGATATATCAACAGGCACAGAAGTTCTGCGAGATGCATGCATGCAGTGTGTGTGTCCTCTCCTCCATCTACCCAGTAATCCCCACGAGCTAGCTCTATCGTATCAAGGCTAAAACAGTCCTGATCACGATTGGTATCAGAACCAAGTTAGCCGATGATGGAGTCAGCCTGATGTGGTGTCTTTATAAAAATCCGAGACATAATTCAGACAACACAAAAATCTTTCTAATTGTTTAATTTCTTTTATTTCATCAGGAAATTTATCAACAAAGGCAATGACTCTATGGATAGGAGAAATGATACCTTTATCAATAGAAATCCTAAAAATTGTATTTTTGTTTGAAAAAGTTTTATTTTTCTAGCTGAGACTACTAAACCATTACTTTTAATGATTTTAAAGAAGATATGTAAATGTTTCCTATGTTGATCGATATTTTTAGAAAAAACAAGTACATCATCCATGTAAACAATAATGAAGGAAGTGTAAGGATTAAAAATTTTATTCATTATTTTCTGAAATTCAGATGGGGCATTTTTTAAGCCAAACGGCATAACATTCCATTCATAGTGACCAAATGGGATAGTAAAAGCTGTTTCATAACGATCCATTTCAGCAATTTGTACTTGCCAAAATCCTGATTTCATATTAAATTTTAAAAATAATTTTGCTCCTTATAATCGCTTGATTAGATCTTTGCTTGTTTGGGAAAGGATAATGAATCCATTGTAAAACTTTATTAAGAGATTTAAAGTTGATAACTAATCTAGGAACGCCTCTTTCAAGTTCAACAGCATTTTCAACATAAAAAGCTACACAACTCTAAGGAGAAGAACTGAGCCTGATCAAATTTTTATTTTATAGATCAAAATTTTCTTGTTTACATATTTCTAAGTCGCTGACTCATTTGTATCGGGCGAGCTTTGGTAGGAATTTTATTTTTAAAAAAATCTTTTTCATAAGGAAGGTTGACAACATGTTTTTTTCTAAACCAAAAAGCATGAGGAAATTCAGAACAAACTTCATTTCTAAGTTTTTCATGGAATAGTTTTAATCTTTCAGTAAATTAGTTTTCATTAATTTATCTTCCAAAATTTTCTAATTTGATTTCATCAGAAATATCTTGAAGGAATTTTTCTTTATAAGATAAGGAAGAGATCAAATGATTAAGATAAGCTTCTTTAGGGGTGTTGATAAATTTAATAGTATATTTAAACCCATTAGTATAAAAATTGAGTCATTCATCATCTACAGAAAAAGGTTTAAGTAAATTAATGAAAGGAGTACCAAGAATAATACATTGTCTTAAATCTTTAACCAAAAGAAATGATATTTTTAAACATAAGCCTTGATTGCAGACATGACATCAGAAAGTTTATATTCAACACTAAGACTTTGACCACTTGCAGAACTAACTCCATGAGTTATTTTTTCAAAGTATTGAGAAGGGATAATGCCTTCTCTAATACAGTTTAGATCTACTCCAGTGTCTATTAAAGCAGTATCTTTGACAGTGAAACTAGATTGAATTTTGAGGATAATTTCGTATTTCCACTTTTGTTTAATATATTTTTCTATGGTACTAATTTTATTAGAATATTCTATGTTATTTGGCTGGGATTTTAAGATATTTATTTCTTGCTTAAGATTTTTAAGCTGAAATTTGACTTTTTTTTGTTCCCTTTTAAGGTCTTCAATAGATGCGTTTTTATTAGACTGAAATTGTAAAATAGAAGAGTCATTTCTTTTTTTTAGTCATCTCAAGATATTTTTTAACTGTAATCCCTTTTGTTGAGGATCAATAATAGTATTAATGGTCTCAAGAATGAATTGTTCATGTTCATCTAGGATGTTCAATTCAGAAAAACTATTAGAAGATGTTGTAGATGAATCAAAACTATTTTCTTTATCAGAAGTGTAGAGAGATTATCACACTCATCATTGGATGAAGAATTATTAAGATTTAAAGCATTAATAAGTTTTTCAATTTCTTCGTTAGTAAAGTTATTGGATTTTAATATTAACTCATTAACCTTCTTTTTAATGTCCTTTTGAAAAAATTTGTTAGCATAATGTCCTTTTTTTTACATTTATAACATGTAGGAGTTTTTGCAGTATTTTTTCTAACGTTCCTTTTAGGAGGTTTTCTTTCAATTTTATTATTTCTAGGATTTTGTGTTTTTCGTTAATTCTTAGGATTATTTTTTATTCTTGAATTTTCCATTTGAAAACTAAACTGATAACAAAAATTTCTCAATTCTCTTTTACCTAAGAGGTTTTGATTTTTTAGTTGGTTTTTAATTTTAACATCGTTGCAAAGTTTTAAACCAATAGTGTTGACCTTTTGGACTAATTCTCTGAATGAGATTTGATCATAGAGAATGTGGCCATTACATTGTTCTTTATGAGATTCTCTAACTTTTTCGGCAAATAATGATGGAAGGCCAGAAATGAAATTTTCTTTTCAAATGGGATTATTACAATCATGTAGTTGGTAAATTTTTGACAGAAAAACAACTTTATACCATTTAAAGTCTGTAAGGGTTTTACATCTAAAATTTATGAGTTGTTCTCTGACTTTATCTTGGAGACTATCAACAAGACCTTAAAAATGATGATATATTGCCACTAGCAGGGCATAGACTGCATCATTAATTACTTGTCTTGTCTTATCAAGAATTGGTTCTCCGAGTTGAGTTTTTTTAATAACTATTTAGAATGTTATGTTGTTGTGATTCGGTAAGGTACCGATCCCACCCACCTTGCAATTGACCAGAAAAGGATGAACATAAGCCGCTGAAAATGTCTTTTTCGGGATTACCTTGTTGTCTACAAGCATTGGCATATATAAGCATTTCTTGTAAAAAATATATTATTTGATATTCAGTATAACCGTCAAGATTCCATTCAACTAAAGAATTACCAACAAAACTTGTTTTATGGTTATTAATTTCTTCAAATTGCATATCAACAGAAGCAGGTTTCCTATAGTAATTTTTTGTATTATTTGAAGAGTATGGATGTTTTTTAATATTCTGAATCATTAGAGGTTTGTCAAAATCATGATCTGACTTATAATTAGACATTTCATCGAATTGAGTTCCAAGATCGGATAGGACATTGATAGCACGGGATTTTCCTTTATTCATATCTTTTAATCTCTTAGTTAATTCTTCATTAAGATCATTCATTTGTTCACCAAGTCTAAAGGGTTTATTATTTTCTAATTTGATATTGTTGGTGAAAGTCTGAGGAGAAAAAGGTGATATAACTATTGGGTGAGTCAAAGGTCTCTTTATGTCAAGAATCATATCTTCAATTCTATCTATTTGTTTCCCTATCGTCTGAAGGTGAATATTAGCAAAATTATTTTGTTCAGTCACAAGGGCAATACTATCTTGTCTAGCTATGTTAAGTAGATTCAAGAGTTGTGATGGGGGTAGCTTTAACATTTTCTTTTCCTACTTTTATTGGTTCAAAGGGTGGATGTAAATATTCTATTTCTTTATCTTTATTTGTTTTCCATGTATTGGATATTGTTTTTAAAAGGCATGTGTTATTTTCAATAGGTAAATGTTTAAGAGAGTGTTTTAGATCTTCTAAATATATATCTTCATACCATAAGAAAAAAGGTATATTTTGCTTGATAGTTCGCATG